TAGTCCAACCCCCTGCTCAGGCAGGAAACCCTATACCATTTCGGACAAATGGCTGTCCAGTCTCTTCTTAAAAACTTCCAGTGTTGGAGCATTCACCGCTTCTGGAGGCAGGTTGTTCCACTGGTTAATTGTTCTCACTGTCAGGAAGTTTCTCCTTAGTTCTAGATTGCTTCTCTCCTTGATTAGTTTCCACCCGTTTGTTCAACAAGCCAGTGAAAATCAGGAAACGGAGCCAATTAATTATTTCTAAACCACCTGGCATCCTTGAGGAGTGGGGCGGTGGAAAGATCACCCAAATAAATTTACAAAAATAAAAGCAATCGCCCTAATGCAACCGATCCCTGATTTTTCATCTTTTGGTTTGTAAACCAAGCTGCAGCATTTAATTTCCTATTTAATTACCTTAATTTAGTACTTATACTATTGATTTACACATGCATAAAGACATTTGCACCCCAAAGAAACTAATGTCTATCCCTAGACCAGCAAACCATGATTTCAAACAAGGGTTTCTTGCCAGAAACTAGAGTTTTTTTGGGAGGCTAAATAAATGTGGGACTAGAACGGGATTAGGCCACGTTATGCTAATTCTGTGTCTAGCTAAGGGAATAACCCAGAATATTATTCATTTCGTAAGAACTGAATCCCGAAACTGAAGATATCAACCAGTCTTTTCCCAAATTAGTCTACTCTTCAAACTAAGCTCAGCCTGTCTCAACATTTTGGACCACATAACCTCTATGCCCCAGCTGGATGGCTATGAAAAGAGTTGTTCTTCTCCTCTCTCCTGAGACCAAAAAGCCAGAATGGGTTGAACCATTTCAAGGTTGCACGGAGTTCTCACATCACACTAAGTTATGTCTACTTAATCAACCCCTGTCAATAGAGGACAAATATTCTAAGGCAGGACTTCCCAATCTCACGCAACATGCTAAGCCGAGACGAAGCCAATCACGCCACGTGACGTGTGAACCTGGCCATTACATGTTCTGCGCAGGTGAAGGCCATCTTAAGACTTTTAGCAGGAAGAACATCATGTCAACCCTTTAGAGGCAGGGGGCTGCAGACCAAGATAATTTGGTTTGCAATATTTTCCCAGGTTAAACATTTGCAATATTTGTCCAGGTTGAATATTCGTTAACATCTTTTTTAATCGCTTGGTGGAGAAATCTCCCAGAAGCCAAAGGCTATTTTTGTCCTTCCTACAACTCGGTGCCTTTAATCTCCTTCCGGTTCTGAGAAAAAACAGTTGCACATTGGGGCTTCTGAAGCTCTCTCCCTTCCTCTCCAGCAAGTGAATGTCCGTCCAGTTTAAGCATACCTTATCGTCCATTACGTCAGCCCCGGGTGACAAAAAGGGAGTGAAAAAGTAGACACGCCAGCTATAAATCAAAAAATGTCTCCTAAAGCAGGTTTCAAGGACAACACAAGCGAGGTAACTTTGCATGAGATTACGGTGACCTCGTCAAGAAGCTACGGCAAGAAAGATGTTTATATTTCGGAGAGACAATAAAATTATCAGGTTTTAGAGCAGAGGTCGCCAGACCGGAAAGTGCGTGGTTTTGTGTGTTGCCTGCATCCCATGGATGGGGCTTTGCTTGTTTGTGCGGACCGCTTGCTGGCATGCTGCGGCCCGGTACCGGTCCACGGACCAGGGGTTGGGGACTCCTGTTTTAGAGCACTGAAAACAGGAGCTATCTACCCAGTCTTCGGGAGACACAGATGTTGCTGACCAGCATAAATGAAAAGGCTCTTTCCCAAAATTTAAGAAAGTGAAATCGCTTTATAGATAGACCTATAACTAGAAAATTTGGACTGAGTTCTGTTTACTTGTCAATCAGAACTGTTTTTTTTATCTTAAGCAAGCATGTCCGACCCACAGTCCATGGAACAAATGAGTCCTGGACAGCTAGTTATGTGGCCCCACAAGATAATACAAAATACATAAATAAAGGAAGATGAGGATGAGGATGAGGATGATGGTGATAATAATAATAATAATAATAATAATAATAATAATAATAATAATAATAATAATAATAATAATAATAATAATAATAATAATAATAATAATAATATAAATAGAAATAGAAAGACTGTGGCAAAAGCAAGCAAGGGTAGTACCAATAGTAATAGGCACCTTGGGTGCAATCCCAAAACAACTGGAGTACCACTTGGACACTATCATCAGCACTGACAAATTCACCATCAGTCAATTGCAAAAGGCGGCCTTACTAGGAACTGCTTCCATCCTGCGACGAGATCTGTAATACCATCAAACATCCACATCTGCCTATCCCAGGTCCTTGGGAAGGACTCGATAGGTAGACAAAAGTGCCAAATCCAGTCTGAACATCTGGCTGACTGTGCGATGATCCATAATAATAACAATAATAATAGTAGTAATAAAGTTGGAAGGGACCTTGGAGGTCATCTAGTCCAACCCCCTGCTCAGGCAGGAAACCCTATACCATTTCAGGCAAATGGCTGTCCAGTCTCTTCTTAAAAACATCCAGTGTAGTTCTTGACTTATGACCAGAATCGGGCCCACAATTTCTGTTGCTAAGCGAGACATTTGTTAAGTGGATTTTATCCCATTTTATGACCTTTCCTGTCAATCTATCCTGCCACCCTTGTTAAATGAATTACTGCAGTTAATTGTTAAGTGACTCTGGCTTCCCCCCCATTGATTTTGCTTTGTCAGCAGGTCGCAAAAGGGGATCACGTGACCCCAGAACACTGCAGCCGTCATAAATACAAGTCAGTTGCCAAGTTTTTGATCACGTGACCCTGGGGAGGCTGCAACGGAAGCGTGAAAAATGGCCCTAACTAACTTTTGGGGGGGCCGTTGTAACTTTGAACAGC